TGTTTTGCCTCCATGAATATATGTACACCATGTGCATGCCTGGTGCCCTCTGAGGCTGGAGGAAGGTGTTGGTTCCCCTGAAACTGGAGTTACAGACCATTGTGGATCATCATGTGGGGGCTGGGAACTGAATCTAGGTCCTCCACAAGAGCAACCAGTGCTATTAACCACTGAACCATCTCTTCAACCCCAAAGAAGTGAGTTTTAAAAAGTCATTTCACTGAAGTATAACTTATATGTTATGAAATTCACCCATCCTAGGTGTACTTTGGTAAATTTTCAAAATATATATTTAATACACCCACTGTAAGATAATTTTTGAACAATTCCTCACTGACAATGTTTATTCATGTTCCTATGCAGGATATTAACCCTGGCTTCTATTCCTGGTGTGCTTTTTACCAACATGGCTTTGCTTCAAACGTTTTTCATATAAATGGAATCATTCACTGCAGTCTTTTCTGTCTGATAACTTTCACTTAGACTAATTTTCAGATTCATTCATGTTATTGTATGTATCAGCATTCCTTTTCTTCAAGGCAGAGTCTCACTATGTAACCCTACCTGGCCTGGAACTTGCTATGTAAGACAGGCTGGCCTCAAACTCACAGAGATTTGCTTGCCTCTGCCTTCCAAATGCTGGAGTTAAAAGCATGAGCTAACATACCCAGCAAAGTATAGCCCAAGGTGGCCTCAAACTGCTGATCCTCTTGCTTCTACCTCTTCAGCATACCCTGCTGGTATGTGCCACCATAACCAGTTATTCCTTTTCATTGCTGAATGGCATTCTCCTATACTAACAAACTACACTTCATTCATGCATTCCTGGGTGTCTGAACCAATTTTCACTATCACCAATTAGGCTGTTGTGAATATGGATTAATTCTTTATATAGATGTATGTTTTCATTTCTTTTGATGGACACCTCGAAGCAGAATTGCTAAGCACATGGTTAATTTTTAAAAAGAAATTGATGAGTCTTTTCCAAACTGACTCTACCAATTTATACTCCTACCCACAATGAGTGATGACAACTCTAGCTATCCAAATCCTCAGCAATTCTTAGCAGCATCACAAATCCTGGTACCATACACTTCTCTAAGGAGCAACATGCTGAGCATGTTAATCTACATAATGGTCACACACACACACACACACACACACACACACACACACACACACATATATATATTGTTTCATGAAGAGTCTAATTTTTTTTTATGTGTATGAGTGTATTGCCTGCATGTATGTATGTGTACCCATGTCATGCAATGCCCTCAGAGGTCAGAAGGGGTGTCAGATTCCCTGAAACTATAGTTACAGACGGTTGTTAGCCACCATGGGGGTGTTGGGAATTGAACCCAGGTCCTCTGCAAGATCAGTCTGTGCTCTTAACCACTGACCCATCTCTCCAGCCCATTAAGAGTCTAATTTTTCCCTCATTTTTTGTGTTGGGTTTTTAATTTTATTACCAAATTCAAGATTTTTGATATATTTGTTGGAAAAAGGTCCTTTGTCACACAGGGTTTTTACATTTTGAGGTATAATGCATATCCTGTAACAATTACCCTTTGAAATGTTCAGAAGGTCAGCATAAGCACTACTGGCACAATCCAGCTCTAGGTTAGCTTCATATCCTTGATTGCAATGAAATTACTTCCTAATTCCGTTTTTATTCATCTATATCTGCCTGTGTTCAATGGAGATGGGAATGAGGCCTGAGATGGGTGTACTGCCTTTCGGTGGTTTGATATGTTAATTCTCAAGAATACCCTCATTTATTCATTCATTCATTCACTTTTTGAGCACCAAATTAAGGTTGCCAAGAGAACAAGATCAGGTGTCCAGGTCACAAGATATAAGAGCACAAGGTTATGCTGGGGTTAAGTGAAAGTCATCAGTCCAAATTATGTCCATTTATGTTATTCATATATATAATATATAACACATTATAATATGTGTGTATGTATATATATATGAGAGAGAGAGAGAGAGAGAGAGAGAGAGAGAGAGAGAGAGAGAGAGAGAGAGAGAGTCCCTGTGTAGTCTTGGCTAGCCTGGAACTCACAGAGATCCAACTGCCCCTGCCTCCCCAGGGTTGGGACTAAAGGCATACACCACCACACCTGGCTTAATTTCCTTTTTAGAGTCATCTTTCCTAAAGAATAAAAATATAGCAAATTTTAGTAAATTTATCTTGTATCCTATAACCTTGCTGAACTTGTTCATTAGCTCTGCTAGTTTTTTTTAATTCCTTACAATTTCTACAAATAAAGTCACCTAATCTGAGAAGAGAGTTTGTCTTATCCCCTTTGTAATTTGGATGCCTTAGGGTTTTCTTATCTGACTACATTGCTAGCTCAATAATGAAAGTGACAGTGAGAGCAGACAACCTCGTCTTAGTCCTAGTTTGTTCATGTCTTCCAGGTTCCTTTTATCAGGTTAAGATTGCTCTCTTCTACTCCTAGGGTGGTTGTTTGGTATTTTTTGTTTTTGTTTTTGTTTTTTTTTTGCAACAAGGAGATTTTTAATGTAATTTTTATCTGAAAGAATGCAGGATTTTCATGTTTGTAAAGATGACCTTGTGCTCTGCTGTGCTTGGCTTTAAGAAAATGTGTATCAGCAACCACTCTTCTGTGTCTGATTTAATTGCATAACTGTTGTTTTCTATGTCAGCTCGGTGACTCTGGAGGGACACAGAGATCTCCAGGACTTGAGGAGGATCACTCAGCTAGAACAATTGCCTGGAACTTGGTTCCACGTTAAACGTCTTCTCTTAGCACCTTGTCAGAAGCAATGCCATAAATGTTCTATTCTTAGATTCATTTAAAACAATCTTACTCAAAGTTATTTCATGTTTTCTATAGGACTTTTATTTTTTATTTTTATTGTTATTTTATTTATTTATATGTTCCTGTATCTCAATTGCAATCTCTATGAAGGTGGATTGTAACTATTTATGAAATTCAAACTCATGTAGGCACATACACATAAATAAAATTAACTATATCTTTTAAAAAATACAGGATTTTGTCAAATGCTTTTTCTTTGACTACTGCGATAACCATATGCTTTTCATTCATTCCCTTAATATGGTATATTGATTTTTTTGTTAAGCCAACTATGTATTTCTAGGAAAAAAGACTATATGAATCATATCCATACTTACTGCAGCATTATTAACAGCAGCAAGACATGGAATCTAGCTAAGTGTTTATCAGTGAGTGAGATTTCTATCTAAAGTCTCATTTTTCTCACTTCAACTGGGTAGATTATTTCTTAAATGATCTAATTGACCCCTCAATTTGAATATATGCATGGTACTTTCTTTCCCTGCCCACAAATCTCTTCTCCTCCTATTCTGCATCACAAAAGTTCTAATCTCCCAGCTCAAAACACAAATACAATATCACTTTTTCTTTTCTTGAGTCTTACATGCCTAGCTGCAAGTCCTAAACAATCTATATCTGGAATATCAAGCTCTTTTATATCCTCTTCTAGTCCCAGTGTGTCCTCTCCAACTGGTCTCACCATTCCCTGTCCCTCCCTGCTTCACAACCTATAATCTCAGACTAAAATAAAGTTTGTTAACTGAAATAAAATTTTAATCATGTCACATTTCTGTCAGATTCCTTCAGTGGTCCAAATTCTTTCATATCAAAGTCAAGATCTACTACTTCTTCCCTACCTTTTGAGAGAGGCCTCATTATGTATCCGAGACTGGCCTCCAATTCATAGTCCCACTTTGCCAGTCCCATGCTGGGACCAGACATGCACAACCATTCTCAGCACTTTCATTTCTTTCTGATTTTCTGTCTGACACTCTTTTTCTGCACCTAATTCAACACATTTTTTTCTCTTGGCATAAGCACACAATTGGTGCTCTAGAACACAGCACTGAATTACTGAAACAAATGCCACACCAACTTCAGTGCCTAATTCAAGAGCTTCTGTTCCAGGTGCCCTCCTAGTTAAAGGGGAAAACTACCTGCTGATGAAAACAAACACCAGCAGAAGCAATAAAGCAGCAAGTGCAGAAAGAATCACAGCCACCACCTTGACATGTGAAGGAAGAACAGTGAATGAAGGAGGTGCTTCATGTTAAGGGTACTCCGCATATCCAAAGGAAACAAGCTTTCTATTAAAAAATTTTTAAGAACTCAAAAAACAAAATAAGAAAACAAAGGATGAGTATTTTAATTTGATCAACCTCTTTTAACTCTAATAGGTGTTGGTAACAAATATGCAGTTTACTTTGGAGCACTTGATAACAACAACCAATCAAACTACTTAACAACACACCAACTATGTAGGACAGAAGGAATAACAACAAATAAAAACCTAGTTAATCCAATAATACTTCAGGCTTCAAAGGCCATAAATATGATAAATGTACATAGTTCCTACATCAAATTCCTCGGAGCTGAATGGCACATAATCCCATGATCATATTCCATAACCACATTTTGGGTTTACTTTCTTTCAGTTTCCTGCCCTGTTACTTTCCTGCCTACTCATATGAGATTAAACCAGAAGTAATTCAGTCATCCAATTTTTTAACACAATTGGTTATAAAAGAAAATTTAACTGCCATAAAGGCATATATATATATATCCTGCCATATCATTTAACAACCAATTTTCTGACCAATATAACTTTCAAAATGGTATTAAAAACTAATGATGTTAGTGACAAAAATATCAACAGAATGAATATTATGACCTTATCGAAGTATTAGGCATGAATTACCACTGAATTAATCCAAAACTGCTCAAATATCCAAAGTTAGTAATATTATCATAAAAGTGAGTGGATGCTAATAAACATACAATAGTAAATATTCTAAATATTTATTCATTTGAGCTAGACTGGCATACTTTCATATCTTTTTTTATATTAAGAGACATAAGTATTCTATTATGTATCAGTATGATCAGAATGATTCAAAACATTAGCTTATTATAAAAACAAGATTCTCTATTGTCTATCCCAAATTATACCTGGCAACTAGGTAAATCTTCCCCAAAAAGGTGGTGCTGAAGAAGGCTGGAGATTCTGAGGAAAGGTAAGCAGAAGTCCTGTAAGTACTTTTCCATGGACTCGGGAGACCAAGCAATAGGACCAACCTGGTTAAAAAAGAAGATTTGAACAACTCATTCTACAATAGATGTAGCCTTTTAAAAGTTACATTCCTAGCTGGGCATGGAGATGCGTGCCTTTAGTCCCAGCACTTGGGAAGCAAAGACAGGGTTATCTCCATAAGATTGAGGCAATCCTGGCCTCCATAGAGAGTCCAGGCCAGCTGGGACCACAGAGAGACCCTGTCTCAAAAAGATACACACACAGACACACAGACACACATACACACACACACACACACACACACACACAGCATATACATACACACATACACAAAGGATATACATACACACACATATATTCCTAATGATAACAAAATCTAATGTTTAAATTAAAGCATCACACATATGAACTTCACACAAACATACCATTGCACACTCCTGAGCTCCTTCTTCATAGTATAACTTTCCTTTGGATAGTTCACTTATAACAAAGCTCAGCAATACTTCGTAAGACTTTTCTGCATCAGATTTATTCTGGAAAAAAATTTAAACATCAGTTACACTGATCACTGAAAAATTACAAAAAGAGCTCACTGGAAATAACCCCTTTTAACATAGTAAAACTGTGACTGTACTATTGCTTAAGCATGTGAGCTACATTCCTTCTAACTCCAGGTTAGCCATACACCTCTAGATTCACAATGAAACTGAGTAGGTTAAAGATATTACAATATTTCTTTACAAGAGAATGTAAATTTCATAATGTGCATAAAAATATGTAAATCACGCCTCGACACAGTAACTTCCACTCCTGAGAACTCATCCTAAGGAAATAATTCAAAAGAAAAGAAAACATAGCTATAAGCACAACACATTCATTGCAGCACTCTAATAGCAAACAGAAGGCAGGGAAAATTGACAAAAAAAAAAAAAAAAAAAAAAGGAGGCAGGCAGTTAACCTGAATTATGGAATATTGGCTCAGAGGAATATTTTATAGGCAATGAAAATGACAAACTTGAACTATATGAAAAATGTTCACAATGTGAAGAGTCAAAAAGTGTATGCAAATATACTCCTGAAAGTGGTACAAATCATCATATGGAATCAAAGAAAATATGGACCATGAACTTTGCAAATGTCCTAGAAAATGTCCTAGACTTCCCTAAAAAGGATTTAACACAATTTACTGTAAAAAGAAAATGATAAAATATTTATTATATAATATGTAAGCAATTACATTAAATAAATGAAATTAAACATTAAACAA